CGGCCCAAGCAAGGTGCTGACGTGCATCGACGACGGTGTCTCTTACAACGCATTGAGGCCCACGCAGCAATGGTTTGCCCGCCTCTGGAGTTCATGAAGGGTTGCTCGCTCATGGAATACCTTTCTGGGTTCGTCCGCAAGTTCAGGCGAAATGATTCGACGACCGACCCGGATTTCATAGTTTCCCTGCAACAGAAACTCAGCCACCATTAAATCCAATCCGCACGCCCCAGACACGCGGTTGCCCTGGCGCCGCCGGGGCTCGCGGCCAGAGGAATGCATGTCCGAGAGCCCTTCCCTCTCGCGGACCTCAGCCAGCCCTGGCTTGAAATCATCAGGCAGAGCTTCGGCCCGCGAGTCAGGACCCCAACGGAGCTCTCCCTGTTCGAGGCCCCCCCCCATCGGCAGTCGTTGATTTTGGCGACGGTGTGCACAGATTGCGAGTGACCACCGATCTCCGCGACTGGTCGTCATCCGAGTTGTCCCATTCATTCGGTTGTTCATTACCAGCCTGGAACATATCCCTATCCCTATGCTGGGCACCTCCTCATCACGATGCCAAACTTAGGGATTCCCTCATTTTTTGATGGCGAATCCCTAAGATTGTCATCGCCTTTTGGCGTGTCAATCTTAGGGATAGGGATGCGCTCGAGGCTGGCAAGTTCAGGGGTCACCGATGGGCGAGTTCGCTCTGTCGACGGGATAGGGATGCGCTCGAGGCTGGCAAGTTCAGGGGTCACCGATGGGCGAGTTCGCTCTGTCGACGTCCCCAGGCGGCGGGCGGCGCAGGGCACGGCGGAGGGGCTCTCTGCGCAGGGGCAGCCGCGCGGGAAGCCGTCTGCCCAGGCTGCTCCTGGCCTCCTCGGAAGCGTCTGTGCGCTCCCACCCATCGGTCGTTGAAAGTAGGTATGTTTGGATTTCCAGATTCCAATCTACTCTCAGGCGCCTTCCTACTTCAAGAGTCGAGTGGTTCGCCCTCTTCCCTCCTCTTCAGGAGGCGGGCGGAAACCCAATCAATTTCCAACGCCTTCCTACTTCATGTTTCTACCTACTTCTTTCGACCGATGGGTACACCTCTCTGCCCCGCCGAGCTGCCAGCTCCGAACACCTGCGTGAGAAAAACACCTGCAGCAACGGTAACCGTGGTCAGTGTCCGTCGCCCGAACGATGGTGTGCCCGTCAGGTTGGTCCGCCCGCGCATTGCATGTCGGCGGCATTGCAAAGCTTAGCCGTGTTTGGCTGTCAGGCGCAGTCGCAAACACCGCCTGTGAATGAAGGTAATGTGTCTGTGGATTGGTGGATGATATATGGTTGGGTTATGAGTGCTCGGTGGTCTATGCGTGGTCGGTGAAAGTTGCCTGTGCAGTAAAGTAGTTCGAGGTTTGTCTTTGTGTAATGTATGGGATATGCGCTTAATCTGGAGTGGCTTATGGGTGGTCCACAGGTGGTCCATGAGTGGTCTACGGGACTTGTTTGCGGGATGAGGTGTTGCATGGATGGTCGATGGGCATGCTGTTGGCGTAGGTGCAAGGTTGATCCTGGGGATGGGACACGAGCTAGGTTTAAATTGGCTTGGCCGGTGCGCAAGAGAACTCTCGCTGGGCTCTCTTGCTGCTGGTGCTCACGCCCCTCATCAAACCTATAGTCTGTAGTCGCGTTTATTGTCCGACTTCCGCCTCCTCCACCGACTCCCCCTCATCTTTCTTTCTCGCCGTCGTCTGCCCTCCCCCTGTTCTCATCCCCCCCCCCCCAATCTTCACCCTCGCCACCACCACCTGGACCGGGCCAGGCCAATCCTTCCCCCGTGCGCAGCGTGATGCAGTCTCCAGTGCAGGCGCCGGCGCAGCCGAAGGAGGCGATGCCCTCCTTCCGAGGAGCGGGGAGCGGGAGAGGGAGCCGGGGCAGGGGAGAACGGAGGGTGAGCCAGGTGAACGAGCGAGGAGAGGAAAGAAATCGGCAGGGGAGACGGAGGGGGAAGGGGAATTGGGGGGAGGGGAGGGGGCTCGTGGCGGTCCCTTGCGCCCCCTCCTTGCCCCGGCCGGACCTGATTCGAACAAATGTTCGCAACGGCGTCTTTGCGGGGGTGGGGCGACGATGACGAACAATTGTTCGGGGCGGTGTCCCAGTGGGGGCGATAGACTGGTACCGAGCAGACCCTGTTCATGCTTAGAAAGACTCACGTGTATCTCCGTCGTCCACGTCATCTTGCTCCACCCGTCTTCCTTCACGCAAATGTTCGTCGCAACACTAGATGTGTCGGTCGTGCAGACTGAGCGTGTCGTCCAACCATTGCACGGATGGAGCTAGTCCGTTTTCAAAACACCGTTTTCGTTTGATGATTTACTGTATATGTACGATCTAAACGGCAGACGCTAAAGATTGTGCTTCCCTGCGGTTGGGTGGATGGCGTGTCGTTTTCAACACTGTGCTCTCGGCTGATTATCCGTCATATTTCGCTGTCCAGAAGCCTCACCTTCCAACACTGCACGGAATGGAAGGTGACTCGGTATCAGAACCATTTTCTCGCATGATTTCTCCCGCGACAGTCCATTCCTTTCCCTTCCTCGCAACGCCAACGGTCCTATTCCCAGGGCCCGAGCGCCTCCGTCGTGCTGTGGGCTTCGCAGGGGCAAGCATGCTGTCCAGGTGGTCAGTGTCCCCGTGGTGCTCACAGGCACGTCGGCGCCCACGGGTAGCGTTGCCCGCGACGTGTGGTGTCGCTGCTGCTCGAAGGCTCGCCGTGGTGCTCGAAGCCACGCTGCGGGGCTCGCGGGTTTCTGTCGTACTGGCAGGGTCCAGAAATAACCATCCCTCCTCCTCTCCCTCCCCTCTTTCATACTTCTCCTCCCCAGCCTCTGCTCCCTCCGCCTCCTCCGCCTCCCTCTTCCTCGTCTTCCTGTTTTTTGCTTCCTTTCACCTCATTTCATTCGTATTACTCGCTTGATGCCGTAGGGATGTTTTGAAGCTCACTATCGATATGCATCACATGCACTGCGCAATGCTTGACGCGGCGAGGCTCCTCTGGAAAGGGCGAGGGCACATCACGGGTAAGTATGTCCGTTCTCCATTTCGGGCATGTTGCTACCAGTGCCAGTTGGAGGTGCGGGTTGACCGAAGGTCTGGCAAGGATTGCCGCGTGACGTAATAGTCATGGATTGGCTTGCCGCTGTGCTGTGCAGTTTTCAGCCCGAGTCCAGTATCAAAAGCCGCTTGCAGGTTCCCGCTGACACGCTGACCCGCTGCATATCCGGGGTCGTGACCCCGATGGCCTTCTTCATGCCCGCGTTCCAGCAGCTCGGGGGGAGCTATGGGGGCTACGGACCAGAGCAGGTGGGTGGTCAGACAGGTGGATCCTCGGGATCACACCCGGTCCTGCTTCTCCTTCGCCCCCTCGTCCTCGTTTCCGCCTCCTCCTCCTCCTCCTCATCCTTCCTCCTCCTCCTCCTTCTCCTCGTCCTCCTCCTCCTTCTCCTCCTCCTCCTCCTCCTCCTTCTCCTCCTCCTCCCTCATCCTTCCTCCTCCTCGCTCCTCCTCCTTCTCCTCGCCTCTTTCCTCACCTCCGCGCCTCGTCATACTCCCCTCCCGTGGCCACGTGCTGCTTCCGGCCAGCCCAGGGCCCTCCGCGGAGGAGCACGAGTCTGAACGTGCATGGCCGCAGCAGGCTGCGGGCAGAGCTGCGGAGGCCGCGGCGCCCGAGGCACCCTCCAGAGCCGCTGGCTCTCAGAGGCTCTCGAGATAGCCTCGCACGATGCCATCCTCGCATTGGCTTCGAGGAGGAGGAGGAGGAGGAGGAGGAGGAGGAGGAGGAGGAGGAGGAAGGAGGAGGAGGAGGGGGAGGGGAGGAGGAGGAGGGAGAGGAGGAGGAGGAGGAGGAGGGGAATCAGGAGGAGGAGCAGGAGCAGGAGCAGGAGGAGGAGGAGGAGGAGGAAGGAGGAGAGGAAGAGGGGGAAGAGGGGGAGGGAGGAGGGCCCCCGACCTCTAGACCGCTTCCCCGGGGCCAGCGTTCTCCATTCCGAGCAGTCTGTGGACGGTCACTGGAGGCCTGGTAGGGGCCCCGAGAGGCCGCAGACCGTGCGAAATTGCCGTCCCGATTTCTTCCTCCTCCTCCTCCTCCTCCTCCTCCTCCTCCTCCTCCTCTCCTCCTCCTCCTCCTCCTCCTCCTCCTCCTCCTCCTCCTCCTCCTCCTCCTCCTCCTCCTCCTCCTCCTCCCGCGCCCTGGCCCGAGGTCTGGGTCAGTCGGGGCCCCGAAGTCTCCTGGGGGGGACGCCCCCCCAGGGCTCGTTTCGGTTCCTCCGCTTCGACTCGATTCGATTTGGATGGCTTCCGACTCCGATTCGATTCGACTTCGGATTCCGGTTTGGGATCCGATGTCTCACTGGAGGCCTACTAGCTTGCCGACGCTTGCCGATTCGACTTCTCCCGACTCGGCTGCCGATTTCCGTCGACTCCGGGCCAAAATCAGAGCCCTCAGCGACCTCGAAAATCTCAGCCCTGAGCGACCTCGAAAATCTCAGCCCTGAGCGACCTCGAAACTCCGAGCCCTGAGCGACCTCGAAAATCCGAGCCCTAAGCGACCTCGAATATCCGAGCCCTGAGCGCTCTCGAACATCGGAGCCCTCAGCGACCTCGAAAGTCTCTGCCCCCCCGCCTGCCCCTGGCGCCCACGGCCCTCCCCCCGGGCCGGCAGCACCCCGGGGCGCCGCCCGCCGCCGGCGGCTCCCTCCCGCCGCAGCCCGTGGCCACGGCGGGCCACCCGCACATGTCGCCGCGCGTGGCGGCCTGCCCCGCCGCCGCCTCGGGCCCGCCGGCCGGGGGCGCGGAGGGCGGGCGCTCAGCGGCACCCAGCCACGCGCAGAGGGGGGCGGAGGGAGGGGGGAGGGCTTCTTAGAAACTCGGGCCGGGCGAAAGGGGGTGGGTGGGAAAGGGGGGGTTACGAAATTTGCTGCATGCAGCTGGTTTCGGCCTCACCGAGGGGCCCATTCCTCGATACATAGCCGCCTCCGGCGCCGGAAGGCGCCGGGAAAATCGGCTACGTGAGCTGATTCTCAAACCCCCCCTTTGCTATCCCCCCCTTTCGCCCGACCCGAGAAACACCCCTGCTTCTTAGAAGGCGCGGGCCTTATCTACAGATGTAAGGCCGGCGCCTGCTAAGAAGCAGCCCCCTTCTAAGAAGCCCTCCCCCCTCCCCCCACCCCCTGGTGCGCGCCGCCAAGGCACCGCAACGGGTAGTCACCAACGGGTACTTTGTCCCTCGTCGTCCCATCGTCGTCCTGCCTTGCCCTGGAGGTGGGATCTCTCCTCGAGCCGCCCTCGGGCCAGAGCGTCCTTGGTCGCCCTCGGGGCCGTTCGCAGCAAGGCCCCGAGGCGGATCCAGCCCGTGGCGCCAAGGGCGTCCAGATCGGGGTATTTTGGAGATGTGCCGAAAGCTGCCGCTTCAGGGCCTCTCTCTCTGGCTTGGCAGCGTTGCCCACATCGGGGAGGGTTGGGTTCGCCGGGCCGCTGGCCAAAGTACCCGTCAGTGGAGTCCCCGTTAGAGAGGCGTTGAGGCGCCGTTGGGGCAGGCGGGCTGCTCCCATAAGGCCTCCTTGAGGAGGTCCGGGCAGATGGGGTCGGAGGATCGCGCCGCATCGCAGATGCATCGGCGATGCGGCGCGATCCGACCCCATCTGCGCGGACCCCATCTGGGAGGACCGGGTACCGAGGGAGACGGGTTCGTTCGACTACACGTAAGAGTGACCTTTCGCCGGAGTGACCCTTGGAGCGGGCCCAATGGGGCCCCCCGATCACCGATTTGCGATGCGATAGTTGCGTCTCGCGCGCTCGTGTTTGGTCCCCCCCGCGGCCCCCAAAAAGCCGCGCACCAAGGGTGGAGAAAAAAAAAGCGCACCAAAGGTCACTCTTACCCAGGGTCACTCTTGCGTGCAGTCGATTCGTGAGGTCTGTCGCCGTGCCCTCGGGCTCTCGGGGCCCTCCGCGGGCCCAAGAGGGCCGGCGAGAGAGCGGCTCGGGCTGGAGATCTCATCGGAAGTCGGGCATGTCCCTCTACAGGAGGAAGATTCGAAGCCAGTGAAAAATAGTCTGGGGACGACTTTTACTTTTCCATCATGTTTGAGCATTGTTTGCACATGTTTGAGTTTTCCTACACGGGCTGCCTGTAGGGGGACATGCCCGGCCTAAATCTCGTCTTGGGAGACGGTCCTGGGGTCCAGGACCCGTTTCCCTCGGGATCATGTTCCCCCATGTTAATGTCTGTCGCAGCGGCAGCGAGTCCCGCTCAACATGAACAGGAAATGCTGTCGGTCTTCGTGCCCACTCTTTCCGTACCCATGCCAGGGGGGGTGCTCAGGGCGAGGGTGGGTGCGAGGGCACGGAGGGGGTCGAGGAGGAGGAGGAGGAGGAGGAGGAGGAGGAGGAGGAGGAGGAGCAGCAGGATGAGGAGGAGAGGGGAGGGAACGTCCTGATCGGGGCGTCGTGGCGGCGCCAGCGGGGAAGGAGGAGGAGGGAGGGAGAGGAGAGGTCGGGCCCAGCTGAGAGCGCCATCCTGGACTGAACACGCCAGCGCGCCGATCCCGAGCGCCCATGTTCTGGCCTTCACGGTCCAGCAGGAGGAGAAGGAGGAGGAGGAGGAGGGTCGGTCGGTCGGACTCGGCAGTCTGCGGCGCGGGCCGTGCAATGAAGCGTGTTCTCGCGTCGCAAGCTCGAGGGCCCCGGGAGGCCAGGGGATCTTCAAGGAGAGCGCGGGCGGCGAGCGCCCGAGAGGGGGGCCGGAAGCGCCCGGGAGGCGGCGAAGGGCCCCTCCTCCCTCCCTCCCCCTCCTCCTCCCCCTCCTCCTTCTCCTCCTCCTCCTTCTCCTCCTCCTCCCCCTCCTCCTCCCCCTCCTCCTCCTCCTCCTCCTCCTCCTCCTCCTCCTCCTCCTCCCTGGCCAGGGAGGAGTGGAGAACCAGCGGGAGGAGCGACCGGGGGCGAGCCACGGCGAGGGAAAGCCCGAGGCAGGCGCGAGCTCGCAGGCGGGCCGCACGCGAGCGGGCGGGGGGCCAGGCGCCCAGGGCGGCCCTTTCCCAAGGGGGGCCAGACAGCCCGACGGGGAAAATGTGGGCCCGCCCCTCATGGAGAGAGGGAGGAAGAGGAAGGCGAGAGGGGACGTCACCACCCACTCCCACGGAGGGGGGGCCAGAGAGTTTTTGATTCGCGGGTGGAGAGCGAGCCTCTTCCGGTCGAAGCTAAGCGGGCCGCGCACAGCTTTAATCAACAGGGGGAGGAAAAAAGAAGGCGGGGCCTTATGTCGAGGCCAGGAGTGGGCAAAGCCCCGGGATCAGGCGGTGCTGAAAGCGAAGTGCATGCAAAGGAACGCCTTGGACAGGAACCCGGAGGCGAAGTACCGGGAGGCGAAAAGCTGGTGGTGGTGCCGTCAGCGGCGCAAGGGGGGGGGGGGCAGACAGCCCGACGGGGAAATGTGGGCCCGCCCCCCACGGAGAGAGGGAGGAAGAGGAAGGCGAGAGGGGACGTCACCACCCACTAAACCACCCCAACCCAACCCGAAGGTTCAGATTTACCCTCCATTTCCAGGGGGGGTCGGGGCACATCGAAAAATCATGTGGAACGCTTACCCCCCCCACCCGAAACTCGGGTCTTCGGGTTGGGTTCGGGTGGTCTGGTAGGTAATCAGGACGAGAAGACAAATACATAGAGAGAGAGAGAGAGAGAGAGAGAGACAAAAGAAAGGGACAGGGAACGCAATGGGATCCGATCGCCCCAGGAGCAGATCTATCTTCGAAGAGGACCGCCTCTACCACGCGGCTACATTCAATCAGGAGGGCCGCGCACATGAAGCGGATTCGGCAACACGCCGACTTTCTGGCACACCTTGAAGTAAATCAAATCCTCCTGGCCCTGGTATTTGGCAAGCAGGGTGCCAATATTCCTATCGCAGCTACCTGGACTAGAAAGGTCGCGCTGCTGCGCAATGACAGTGAGCCGCTGCGCGCACTCGGTGGCAATATCCCAGCTGGCTCTGCTAGCGCTAGGCTCTGCAGCACTTTTTTCGTCCTGGTGGAGCGGCGGGCGAGGCGAAGACGGCACGTCGAAGGACATGACACACTTCGGCACCGTGATTTCCACGAAGACCAATCTAGGCGAAGCCTCCAGCATCGGAGAAGAAGGGGCCCCAGTATTTAGCAGCAAGGGCCCGAGATCTGCGCAGGCGACAGGTCTGGCGGGGCCTCCTTCTGCAAGATGATGGGCAGCCGAGGGTGGCCGGGATATGCCAGCGGCGGTGCAAGCGGCTGAGCTTGACTACCAGCATCGCCCAGATGATCCCCATCCGCAGGGTGCCCTCTACAGGAGGAGTATTCAAAAATAGCACAACACAGTCGGGGGACGATGCTTGGACCATGTTTGAATACTCTTTAGGGTATCTTTACAGTTCTTCGCCCCCAATCTGCATGCAGGGGGACATGCCCGACCCGACCGTAGGGTGCGGGCGGCCAGAAGCACTGCTGCGATGGACGCCGGGAGGCCGAGCAGGACCAGCGCGGGCAGTGCCGCAAGCCTGCGCCAGAAGTCGCGCGCGTCGGGCACCAGGGAGGCGCGCGCCCGGCGCGCGCAGCGTGGCCGAGCCTCCGCGCAGCGGTGAGGACGCGCGGCCGCGGCCGGCAGCCGCCGGCAACGATCTCGCGGCTCGCTGCCGCCAGCGCCCGCAGGGAGGCGCCCAGCGGGGGCAGCGCGTATGGGCCCACAGCGGGGCTCGAGAGAGGGGCGGGCTTCCTGAAAAGGCGGCGGGCTTGGGCTTCATGGAAGAGGGAGGGGGGTGGGAGGGAGGGGGGGAGGGAGGAGGAGGAGGAGGAGGAGGAGGAGGAGGAGGAGGAGGAGGAGGAGGAGGAGGAGAGGAGGAGGAGAGGAGGAGGGAGAGGGAGGAGGAGGAGGAGGAGGAGGAGTGAGGAGGAGGGGAGGAGGAGGAGAGGAGGAGGGAGGAGGAGGAGAGAGGAGAGGAGAGGGGAGGAGGAGGAGGAGGAGGAGGGGAGGAGGAGGAGGAGGAGGAGGGGAAGGAGGGAGGAGAGGGAGGAAAGGAGGAGGAGAGGAGGAGGAGGAGGAGGAGAGAGGAGGAGAGGAGGAGGAGGAGGAGGAGGAGGAGGCGGAGGAGGAGGAGGAAGGAGGAGGAGGAGGAGGAGGAGGAGGGAGGAGGGGGAGGGGAGGAGGGGGAGGAGGAGGAGGAGGAGGAGGAGGAGGAGGAGGAGGAGGAGGAGGAGGAGGAGGAGGAGGAGGAGGAGGAGGATGTATGAGGCTCGGCGACGCGGTCCGCGTGCGGCCGTGCCCCGTTTGACCTCGCGGCGCTTGGATCCACGTTCAGTGTAACGCTCCTGTTGTTGGCGCCCACGCCTACGTTTACCCGCGCGGCCATGTAACAACCGCATCAAACATGTCAGTCTGCTGTGCGAGAAACCTGCATACCATGGCACGAAAGTGATGAGGCGTCGAGATAGACAAATGCCAGAGACCAACCCAGCAAACCAGACAATACACCGCGTCATCGGCAGCGTCGAAGGAACAAACAAATATTGCTAGCATTCCAGACTACAGCCGTTGTCGTATTCAGACTGAAATTCAGATGTGGATTGCGGTGCCCAGGCAGGGCACTGCGCCCGCGCGCGCGCAATGATAATCAGTTTGTAAGGAAATGTCCCAAAGCAGTCAGCGCCCTCCTCGCCCTCCGTCCTAATCCTAGCTGGAGGATCGTTGCGCGACATCGCGGGGCCCTGGGATCGTCCCGGGCTAGTAGTAAAATATTAT